GAGAGCGAGAGAGAGGGGCAAAGGGAGGGGGAGAAGCAGGCTCTCCAGTGAGCAGGGAGCCTGATGTAGCACTCAATCCCAGGGTCCTCAGGTCATGACCTGAGCAATGGGAGACACTTCACAGACTGAGACATCCAGGTGCCCCTTACTTGGTTTCTTTTAAATAATAATGTGTGGTTTCAGCATACAAATGCTGCACGTATTTTGTTAGATTTATGACTAAGTATTCAATATCTGTAGTGATTATAAATGACATTTTAAATTTAAGTTTCCATGTGTTCATTGCTCATAAGTAGAAGTACAACTGATTTTGAATCATATCCTGGGTCCAAATCCTGAATCCTATCCTGTGATCTTGCCAAACTCACTGATTAGTTGTAGAGTTCTTTCCTATAGATTCCTTGGATTTTCTCCTATTTCTCTTTAATTATGCCAGTTTTTTGCTTTATGTATTTTGAAGTTGTTTTATTAGCCACATAGATGTTTGTAGTGATTGTGAATACCTGAAGAATTGACTCTATCTGGTGTTACTCTTTTTCTCCAGTAATATTCTCTTTTGAAATCCATTTTATTTGATAATAGTACAGACATCTTTATCTTCTTATGCATACTGTATTCCAAGTATATATTTTTCCATTCCTCCACTTTCAAACTATCTCTCTTTATATTTTTTATTATTTATTTATCTTCTTCTTCTTATTTTTTGAGAAAGAGAGAGAGAGAAGTTGGAGTGGGGCAGAGGGAGAGGGAGAGAGTGGCGAGTGGACTCCACACCCAGTGTGGAGCCTGACATGGGCTTGATCTCACCACTTGGTGATCTTGACCTGAGCTGGAATTAAGAGTCAGATGCTTAACTAACTGACACGCCCAGGTATCCCTCAAGCTATCTTGCTGTATATTTGATGTGAGTCTTACATTTTGCTTTCATGTGTAAAATTTTCATCAGTTTTTTTTTAAATCCATTCTAACAGTTTTCTGCCTTCTGCTTAGAGTGTTTTATTCATCAACATTTTAACATTATTATCAAAGTTTGGTGTAAATCTACCATTGTATTATTAACCTTCTCCTTATTTCAATGTTTTTTGTTTGTTTTTTCTTTTTTAATTCTGTTACTTCATCCTGCCTTTTTTTTTTTTGAATGATTTGATTATGGGTTTTTAAAAATTTCATCTTAGTCTATCCATTGCCTTTTTAGCCTTATCTTTTGCCTATTTATTAGTGGCTTATTAAGGGCTCTAGGATTTAAAATAAACACCATTAACTTTTCATAGTCTAATTAGACTATTTTTGATATATTTTATATGTATTACATCTGCATATATTATAAATGACACATTACAATGCTATAATTTTTTAAATTAGCATGTTATTTGCCCCAGGAGTACAGGTCTATGAATCATCAGGCTTACACATTTTCACAGCACTCACCATAGCACATATCCTCCCCAATGTCCATCACCCAGCCACCCTATCCCTACCACCCCTATCCCCCAGCAATCCTCAGTTTATTTAGTGAGGTTAAAAGTCTCTTATGGTTTGCCTCCCTCCCAATCCCATCTTGATTCATTTTTTCCTTCCCTACCCCTGACAGCCTCCCGCTCTGCCTCTCAAATTCCTCATATCAGCGAGATCATATGATAATTATCTTTCTCTTATTGACTTGTTTTGCTCAGCATGATACCCTCTAGTTCCATCCATGTTGTTGCAAATGTCAAGATTTCATTTATTTTGATGGCTGCATAGTATTCCATTGTATATATATACCACATCTTCTTTATCCATTCATCTGTTGATGGACACCTAGGTTCTTTCCATAGTTTGGCTATTGTGGATATTGCTGCTATAAACATTTGGGTGCACATGCCCTTTTGGATCACTACATTTGTATCTTTAGGGTAAATACCCAGTAGTGCAATTGCTGGGTTGTAGCATAGCTCTATTTTTAACTTTTTGAGGAATCTCCATACTGTTTTCCAGAGTGGCTGCACCAGCTTGCATTCCCACCAACATGTAAGAGGGTTTCCCTTTCTCTGCATCCTCACCAACATCCGTCATTTCCTGACTTGTTAATTTTAGCCATTCTGACTGGTGTGAGGTGGTATCTCATTGTGGTTTTGATTTGTATTTCCCTGATGCCGAGTGACGGGAAACACTTTTTCATGTGCCTGTTGGCCTTGGATGTCTTTGTTGGCCTGGATGTCTTTGCAGAAATGTTTGTTCATGTCTTCTGCCCATTTCTTGATTGGATTATTTATTCTTTGGGTGTTGAGTTTGATAAGTTCTTTGTAGATTCTTGGATACTAGCCCTTTATCTGATATGTCGTTTGCAAATATCTTATCCCATTCTGTCAGTTGTCTTTGGTTTTGTTGACTGTTTCCTTTGCTGTGCAAAATTTATTGATCTTGACGAAGTCCCAATAGTTCATTTTTGCTCTTGCTTCCCTTGCCTTTGGTGATGTTTCTAGGAAGAAGTTGCTGTGGCTGAGGTCAAAGTGGTTGCTGCCTGTGTTCTCCTTAAGGATTTGGATGGATTCCTTTCTCACACTGAGGTCTTTCATCCATTTTGAGTGCATTTTTGTGTGTGGTGTAAGGAGATGGTCCAGTTTCATTCTTCTGCATGTGGCTGTCCAATTTTCCCAACACCAGTTGTTGAAGAGACTGTCTTTTTTCCATTGGGCATTCTTTCCTACTTGGTTGAAGATTAGTTGACCATAGAGTTGAGAGTCTATTTCTGGGCTCTCTATTCTGTTCCATTCATCTATGTGTCTGTTTTTGTGCCAGAACCATACTGTCTTGATGATTATAGCTTTGTAATAGAGCTCAGGTCTAGAATTGTGATGCCACCAACTTTGGTTTTCTTTTTCAACATTCCTCTGGCTATTTGGGGTCTTTTCTGGTTCCATATAAATTTTAGGATTATTTGTTCCATTTCTTTGAAAAAAAATGTTGGTATTTTGATAGTGATTGTGTTAAATGTGTAGATTACTTTAAGTAGCATAGACATTTTCACAATATTTGTTCTTCCAATCCATGAGCATGGAATGTTTTTCCTTGTGTATTCCTCAATTTTTTTCATGAGTACTTTATGTATGAGTACCGATTCTTTGCCTCTTTGGTTAGGTTTATTCCTAGGTATCCTATGGTTTTAGGTGCAATTGTAAATGGGATTGATTCCTTAATTTCTCTTTCTTCTGTCTTGCTGTTGGTGTATAGAAATGCAATTGATTTCTGTGCATTGATTTTTATATCCTGACACTTTACTGAATTCCTGTATGAATTCTGGCAGTTTTGGAGTGGAGTCTTTTGGGTTTTCCACATAAAGTATCATATCATCTGCAAAGAGTGAGAGTTTGACGACTTCTTTGCCAATTTGGATGCCTCTAATTTCTTTTTGTTCTCTTATTGATGAGGCTAGGACTTCTGGTACTATGTTGAATAGCAGTGGTGATAGTGGACATCCCTGCCATGTTCCTGATCTTAGGGGAAAAGCTCCCAGTTTTCCACCGTTGAGACTGATATTTGCTGTGTGTTTTTTGTAGGTGGCTTTTATGATATTGAGATATGTACCCTCTAGCGGCGCCTAGGTGGCTCAGTGGGTTAAAGCCTCTGCCTTTGGCTCAGGTCATGATCTCAGGGTCCTGGGATGGAGCCCCACTTTGGGCTCTCTGCTCAGCAGGGAGCCTGCTTCCTCCTCTCTCTCTGCCTGCCTCTCTGCCTACTTGTGATCTCTCTCTCTGTCAAATAAATAAATAAAAATTTTAAAAAAGAGAGAGATATGTACCCTCTATCCCTACACTTTGAAGAATTTTGATCAGGAAAGGATGCTGTACTTTGTCAGATGCTTTTTCAGCATCTATTGAGAGTATCATATGGTAATTGTTCTTTCTTTTAGTAATGTATTGTATCACAGTACTTGATTTGTGGATGTTGAGCCAACCTTGCAGCCCAGGAAAAAAATCCCACTTGGTTGTGGTGAATAATACTTTTAATGTACTGCTGGATGCTATTGGCTAGTATTTTGGTGAGAATTTTTGCATCTGTGTTCATCAAGGATATTGGTCTGTAATTCTACAGTGTTATAATTTTATTTTAACCTGTTCTGCATTTCTTAAATAATTAAAAGAAAAACTATCTTTTTATAAAAGCCAAGATATTCACCATTTCCAATGGTAGTCATTTCATCTTGAATATCTGAGTTTCTACCTACTTTCATTTCCCTTCTATCTAACATACTTCCTCTATATTCTCTTGGGTTTATTTTATTTTGTTTTCCTGAAACTGCCTTTATTTACCTTTCATTCTTAAAGGATATCTTCCCTGAGTATAGAATTATTAGTTGGCAGTTTCCCACCCACCTCCAGAACCATAAAATGCTGTTCCTTTGTCTTCTGGTCTCAATATGTTTGAATGAAGTCCCTAAATTCCCCTATATCAAATGTGACTTTTTGTCTTTATATTCTTTTGAAATTACCTCATTAGTTTTCAGCAATTTTACTATGATTTACTTAGGTATGGTTTTCTTAATATTTACTGTGCTTCAATTTTTCTGTATTTCATTATTATATAAATTTATGTCCTTCACCAAATTTGTAAAAAATGAGTTCATTGTTTCCTCAAATATTTTCTTCTGCTCCATATTCTCTTTCCTCATCTTCTGAGACTCCAATTACTCATATATTAGGCCTTTTAACATTATTCCACATGTCCTAGAAACTGTCCTTCCCTAACTTTTATTTTAGTTGTTCTTTAAATTGGATAATTCTATTAATCCATCTTCAGTTTCATTGACTCTCCTTTTTCATCTCCATTCCACTTTTATTAGATAGGGTTCTCTACAGAAACAGAACCAATAGAGAGAGAGAGAGAGAGAGAGTGTGTTTGTGTGTGTGTGTGTGTGTGTGTGTGTGTGTGTGTGTGTGTGTGGTTCGTGTGTATATGTAGATGGGTAAATAGATAGATAGATAGATAGATAATTAATTAATTAATTAATTAATTTTAAGGAATTGGTCTCAGCCTTTTAGGTTGGCAAGTACAAGATCTCCTAAGTGGCTGAATGGGCTGGCAGGCCTAGACACCCAGGTAAGAGCCAATGTCACAGTTCAAGATTGAAGATCATCAAGCAAGACTGTCAAGCAAGCCATCCTTCTTGTTGGGGGGAGTTCCATGTTTGTTTTATTAAGACCTTCAGTTAATTGGATGAGTCCTGTTCACATTATGGAGGGTAATCAGCTTTACACAAGGTCACTGATTTATATGTTACTTTCATCCTAAAGACACCCTCACAGAAACATCTAGAATAATGTTTTGACCAAATATCTGGGCACTGTAATCCAGCCATGTTAACACATAATAGTAACTATCACACTACTGTTGTGTCTGGCTAGTGAAATTTTTATTTTAGATATTGTAATTGTTAAACATAGAAATTTCTATTTTATTCTTTATATAGTTACTATTTCTTTGATGATATTTTCTATCTTTTCATTCATTGTAAGCATTTTAAAGTATCTTATGAGACATTATTCTAGTCATGGGTTTAGAATCCCTGTGGGGTTATTACACCACCCTTGTCATCTCAGGGCTCATTTTCATTGATGGTTTTCTATCTTGAAGTTGAACCACATTTTCTTGATTGCTCATGTCACATAATTTTGGATCACATCCTGAGTATTGTGAATGTTATGTTGTGAAGATTATGGGTTTTTAAATATTCTTCCAAAGAGTCTTGATTTTTTGTTTTGTTAGAGAAGGGACTTGGTTTGAAGGAAACTGCAAACTCTTATCATTTGGCAGACATGTTTAAATCTCAGTTCCTTCCCTTTTTAGCTCACACACACACACACACACACACACACGTACAAGAATTAGGGATTGGCCAGAGACTTATTCAGAACATAAACACCAACTTTGTAACTACTTCTCTTTGGTCCTCTTCTTTTTGGAAATCCCCCTTCAGCTCTCAATTTTCTTCTTGCTCACATTTTTTCCTCTAGTTCCTCTAGTTTCAGGCCAGAAAGACTTGAAACATTCACTAGGGTTTACCCTCTGGCTAAAAGTTATGATAACAGGGAATGCACACAGTGTCATTCCTTTTTGCAAATGCTAGTCTGCCTCCAGAATATTGCTACTTTTGTTCTGCTCCAGTAATTGTAGGTGGTGGTTGTTTTAGTTGCTGTTGTGTGTGTTGCCCAGAATTTATAGGTTTAGTACCATGAGGGACCAGTCTAGTAGAAGCTACTAAATTATACTGGCAGCAAACATCTTATTTTTGAAACAATATTTTTGTTGTATATATGTTGACTGAAGAATTTTTTAAAACATTTCAGCACTTTTAAGATATTTTCACTTTGTCATCTGACTTCCATGTTTCTGTCTTGTTATTACTCTTATTACTACCCCACTATTTGTATTGCCCTGTGGATATTTCTAATATTTCTCCTTTATCTTTAATTTTATAAATTTGAATATGACATTCCTAGGTGATTTTTTTGTTATTTTTTATTTTACTTGGAATTAGCTGTACTCATTGTATCTGTGGATTAATTTCTTTTCTTTTTTTTTTTTTTTAAGATTTTATTTATTTACTTGACAGAGAGAGAGACCACAAGTAGGCAGAGAGGCAGGCAGAGAGAGAAGAAGGGAAGCAGGCTCCCTGCTGAGCAGAGAGCCCGATACGATGCTCGATCCCAGGACCCTGGGATCATGACCTGAGCTGAAGGCAGAGGCCTTAACCCACTAAGCCACCCAGGTACCCCTGGATTAATTTCTTTTACCCATTTGAAAAATTCTCAGCCAATATAACCTCAAACATTTACTTTCCTTATTTCCTTTTTCTTTTTTCCTGGGACTCCAGTTTCAAGGATATCAGATTATTTGATATTTGTCCTCTAGATTTTGGATGTTCTGCTCAACTTTTTAAAAAAATTATTTCTTTTTCTCTTCCTTCTTCTCTTCCTCTTCTTCCTTCTTCATATAGTATCAGGTGACCTGTCTCCAAATTCACTGATCCTTTCTTTGCTTTATGTAGTCTGGATTACTCCTTTTTCATGTAGTAATTTTTATGGAATCATACAATAAATATATAGTCTCCTTTCACTTAGCATAACAGATTTGAAGTTAACTACATTATTGTACATATCAGTTTGTCCATTCATTTTTATTGCAGAATAGTATTCAATCACATAGTATACCACAAGTTTGTTTATTCATACCAGATGATGAACATTTGAGATGTTGCCAGTTCTTGGCAGTTTTGAATAAAGTCTCTGTAAACATTCACACAGAGTTTTTATGTAAACATAAGTTGTAATTTCTCTTGAGTAAATATCTAGGAATGGGATGGCTGAGTCATATGGTATGTATGATAGTCAGATTTGTAAGAAACTAAAATTGTTTCCAAAGTGGTTGCATGACTTTACATTCCCACTAGTAAAGAATTAGAGTTCTGGTTACTATAAAATCTTAGCAGTACTTGGTATTGTCAGGAAAAAAAAAAAAAAAAATATATATATATATATATATATATAACCATTGTTGTTGTGTAGGTTTTTCAGAGCTTTTATTTGCTCTAATGGCGTATGAATGATGAGCAACTTTTTATATGTTTATTTTTCACCATTTCTTTGGTAAATGAAAATAACTATCCTAGGGCCATAAAATGAATTGAGAAATGTTCTCTCAAATAAAACTGGGGGCATCACATTACCTGATTTCAAGCTTTACTACAAAGCCGTGATCACCAAGACAGCATGGTACTGGCATAAAAACAGACACATAGACCAGTGGAACAGAGTAGAGAGCCCAGATATGGACCCTCAACTCTATGGTCAAATAATCTTCGACAAAACAGGAAAAAATATACAGTGGAAAAAAGACATTCTCTTCAATAAATGGTGCTGGGAAAACTGGACAGCTATATGTAGAAGAATGAAACTTGACCATTCTCTTACACCGTACACAAAGATAAACTCAAAATGGATAAAAGACCTCAGCGTGAGACAGGAATCCATCAGAATCCTAGAGGAGAATATAGGCAGTAACCTCTTCGATATCAGCCACAGCAACTTCTTTCAAGATATATCTCCAAAGGCAAAGGAAACAAAAGTGAAAATGAACTTTTGGGACTTCATCAAGATCAAAAGCTTCTGCACAGCAAAGGAAACAGTCAACAAAACAAAGAGGCAACCCACAGAATGGGAGAAGATATTTGCAAATGACAGTACAGACAAAAGGTTGATATCCATGATCTATAAAGAACTCCTGAAACTCAACACACAAAAAACAGACAATCATATCAAAAAATGGGCAGAAGATATGAACAGACAATTCTCCAATGAAGACATACAAATGGCTATCAGACACATGAAAAAATGTTCAACATCACTAGCCATCAGGGAGATTCAAATTAAAACCTCATTTTTGATTTTTTAAAAAAGATTTATTTTTTGAGAGAGAGAGACAGAGACAGAGAGCATGAACTGGGGGGAGGAATAGGGAAGAGGGAAAAGTGGACTCCCTAATGAGCAGGGAACCTCACCTGGAGCTCCAACCCAGAAACCTGAGATCATGACCTGAGTTGAGTTGCTTAGCTGATAGCCATGCAGGCACCACGCATTTTAGATTTTCTTAAACAGTTTGTGTAACACAGGCATTTCACCCTTAAACATTTGATAGAATTCACCATTGAAACCAACTGGGTCTGGGGTATTTGCATGTGTGTGTGTTGGTGTGTGTGTGTGTGGGGGGGTGGTTGTGGGAAAGGTTTCTTAACTACAACTTAATTTATTTAATAAATATAGGAATATTTAGGTTAGCTACTTTTTCTTTGTTGAGTTTAATAGTAGATATTTCTCAAGGAATTTGCCTATTTTATATAATGTATAGAGTTTATATACGTATATAGTTGATATAGTATTATCCTTTTAATCTATAAGCTCTCTAGCCATGTCTCTTTTATTATTGAAATTAGCAATCTTTTTTTCTTGTTAAATCTGGCTAGAGATTTTTGAATTTTACTGATTATTTCAATAAACCAGATTTTTATGTCATTGATAGTTTTCATTGCTTTGCTTTTCTGATATCAAAATTTCATCAGTTTTTGCTGTGTGTGTGTATGTAATTTAATAACTGTCTTTTGTAATAGTTGTCATACTTGAGTTTGAGTGTATTTTTTTCTTTTTAAATCCTTGCTGAAGTAGTGCCTCAAAAATTCTTATAGTGAAGGCCTATAACTGTTAAACTATTTTGTATTTTGTGTAAATGTGCATGTCTTTCTGTTCCCAATCCAAAATATACTTTTGTATATAAAATTCCAGATTTGGCTATATTCTTGCACATTTTGAATACTTTAACCTACCATTTTCTGCCTCCTGTCCTACTGTTGAAATGTGGTAGTCTCTCTTTTTTCTCCGGTTGCTTTTATCATTTTTCTCTTCATTCTTAATCTTTATGATACCTGCATGTGACCATTTTTTATTTTTTAGTTATTGAGGTAAACTGTTAGTCGACAAACTCATGTGTTCTTCCAGTTCTATAAAATTTTGTCTTTCTATTTTCTTACTCTTCTATTCTCTTTATTTAAGATACACATTTGACAATTTTAAAACTCTGTAGCTTTTGTATCTCTTAACTGATATCCTAAATTCCTTTGCACTATTTTCCAATTCCTCTCTTGCTGTATCAAGTCTGGATAGTTTTATGTCTTTCTCATCTAAGTGACTCTATTTTCCACCTCCTGTTCTCTTTCAATTTCTGCCCACTTCTGTTTCATATTTTCCTGTTTGTTTCCATAGAAATTGTTCCTTTATATCTTTGATATTCCTACACAACTTTATTTTTTAATTTTTCTTAAGCTGTTCTTTAAAATTAATTTCATATAAAGAGAACAGCTTTTCAACCTGCTAGTATTTGGCTGTCTTTCTTACCATAAGATAAATTTGTGCTTTTAACATTTTCATCGTAGATTAACTTGAAATCTTACTCTGCCCTCTAGATGTATCCTTCTTATCCTATAAAGTTTGAAGTTTCCATGCCGCCTCATAGCTCTACTGAGACCACACATGAGCTCCGTGTCTGAGGCACCTTCACATTCCATTCCTATGGCACATTTGTGGACATGACAAATGCTGTCACTCAGCCAGCAGATAGCTTGGTTCCATTTCTAGCATTTGTGTTCTCCTATACCCCTTGTCCTATGAACCTGAGCTCCAGGCAGAATCAATCACAGCTGCTTTTGGCCTCATGTCCTGGTGAGAGCTGCTTATGGCACTTACTCCAGGTGCAGACCCGAGCTTTAATCTCTCAGTTCATGTGGAGCACCTTTAATCTGTTTTGCCCCATGGATTACTGGCCACCACTGCTTTGGTTTGGATCACAACCCAGAAGTCCTGTGGCTTCAGCTCTCCTCACTGCTTTGCATTTAAGTTCTATTTCAGTCTATGGTGATGTTAAGTTTTTGAGCCTAACTCTCTCTTTTCGGATTTCTCTTTTTATACTTAGTTTATCACTGCTATGTCTTTAAAGCTGACAGAGGGTACTAGACATACACTTAATGTCATCTCTATCAGAAGTCTTCTTGTCTTTTTATAAGTAGAGATCTGAGACTCAGAAGAGGGAGCTGTCTGGTCTAAGGCCCTAGAATGGGCTTGTCCCAGAGTATGAGCGGGTCCTCTGGTCTCCCACCTCCAAGCCCCAGGACCTTTTCACTGTCAGCAGGCACTCAGAAACTGTGCTGAAGAGCAAGTCTCAGTGCTGAGCTGCTTCCTGCTGTCTTGCGGGAAAGGCTAGGAGGCGGCTGCTGGGGAGAATCCCCTGACATCTCCTGAGAAGGTGGAGAAGGTGTTTACCAGATTTCATCACCCCCAAATTCTTGTCTGACTAAAAACCTTTTCTTTCAGCAAGCTATCACAGTCTGAGGGAAGCACACCACGGTGTATGATGCCACACACAACCAATGACCTTCACATTCAGCACAACGACTGAAAGCCCTAGAAATGGTGTTTTCCCTTTGGAGGCAATGTGGCTTCCTTATAAAGAAGAGATATAAAGGGAAGCTATTGATTTTCAATTCAAAATGGGTAAACATTTAATTGTGTTCTGCACAAACATAATACAATTATCAGTTGAAAAGTGTCACTCAGCTGAACAAAAAAGGCCTTCCGTGTGGTATGTGGTATGTGTAGGACAAAAAAAAGTAAAACCTGGTTGCTGAGAACAGTCGCCTGATTGGACACCCCTTCCTCATAATATTCCGGAGCTGTGTGATTACGGGCTGTCTGATGAAACTATTTTACAACTCAAAAGTCTGTAAAGAGAAAGCTATCAAGCAAATTCCCTACTGAAATCAAGATTTTAAAATTCAAACTAGAAGGTAGGTATTTTTTCCTCCTTTTCATTACTTTAAAAGTTAGCTAGAATATACTTCCGGTCTCTCTGGCCTAGCAAATGCACTTGAGGTTGAAAATGATTCAAGGTTCTCCTCCCATTCCGGTGGGGCTGCTGCGATGCCCTGAGACCTCTTACTTCTGCAGCTCCATGCTTGTTCCATGTCCAGGAGGCTCCTTTCTCCCTCATTTCTATAATTCAGAGTTCCAGACAGAACCCGACACACTCAGCAAGCTACTTTTCCTTGCAAAACATGTACTGGGAGACGATTCAAGTTCCATGCACCTCTCACCACCCAGTAGTGGTATGAGTGGGCATTCTGCCAACCGAATGCCGGAAGGAAGGTTGCTGCAGATAAAGGGCAGCCACAAATCTCAGAAGATTGTCATTCCTGAGCCCAGCTCCAGGAAGGGGTTATTTCCCTTGCTATGTCCTAAGATTACCGTGTGCAGCAATGGACCGATGTGAGCTGGCCAAGAAGGGAGTGTTTAAAGGATCACGGCAGTGTTTGTCTAATGCTTTGAAGATAAAGGTGAAGACAATTGGGCACATTCCTATTCTTGCAAATGATCTAATAATTACTGTAATAATTATCCTCATCCAACCATAGAGCAACAATAGATATATTCGAGAACATTGAATTTCATGAAGTATTGTGCGTCCCTCAGCAGCAGTCGGCCTCATTGTGAGTAACAGTGCTGATCAAATAACAGAGAGCCGCAAAGCCGCTCTCCTCACTCACCCGGGCTCACATTGAGCTCCCTCTCTCACACCTTGCAATCAAATAACATACAATAGCAAATACACTCCAGGAGGCTGGAGGGAGGCCAGGGAGGCAAAAGGGCCCCACTCCCAGGTCCTCTGGCTCTGCCTGTCAAACGGTAAGTGAGTATCTCCAATGAACCAGCTAATATCTTTGTGTTCAACTGACAGGCTGTTTTGACATTATTAGACACAGCCAAACAAAGGATGAAAACCAATTGGTAGCCACGTTTCACAGTTCCTGGTTGTAGGCACAAAGCAATCAAACACACCTGCCAGAAAGCCTGAAATGTGGGCTTTCAGCCCGGCGTTGTTCAAGATCCCCACCAACCCTCCCCTCCTTTATGAAGTTTTTCCAGCTAAAGTAACCGTGGGACAAGTCCCAGCCCTGTCCGAATTGCAGGGTGAGACTCCTGTTTTGCCCCAGTCCTCATAAACAGGTGCTTAACCTGTTTAACCCCAGATGGCAACAGGCCACCACAGTCAGGAAAGTACAGGGAATGATGGGGGGATTCTTAGGTATAGAACATGCTAGAACTTAGAGACCAGGCCTGCAGGTGGGAAGAAAGGATCAAATATCAGGAGGTTTAATCCTCTGTGGGTTCTGTGTTCAACTTAATTTCCACATCCCAGAGCTTGAAAGCCTTGACACTTAACAGGTTAAAGAGTTTTAGGGCAGACAAGGTGGCACTACCTTACATGATGGGAAGTAAATTTGGAAAGGTTGATGGTGTAACAATGGATCCAAAAGAGTTTTGAATCAGTTCAGAGATAATAAGTCTATCATGTATTAGAAAAGAAGCTATTACATTCAGGTATCTACCCTTAATCCAGGTCTCTACCAGTGGACCTCTTGATATCCTAATTAGAGAAAGAATCCAAGCTGGAAGGATGGTGGTCTTGGTGGCATGTGTCTTTTCTCTGATGTGGCAGGAAAATTCAGGTTTGACCTGTATCACCTCTGCCTGAGACACAGGATCCTGCCTTCCTTTCTGCCTCCAACCTTTCTGGGACACTCTTACTGGAACATAAGTATGGGTCTTGCTTCAAGCACGTCTCCATCTACTGTAGGTCATCATTAAACAGTCAAACAAATGATCAGTGAACTTTAAAAGTTCAACTAACAGGGCCTTAAAGATACAAGGAAAAAGGAAAACAGTGATAATTTTCCCAAAGCACTGGAGATTTAGACCTGGAGTAAAATCTCATCTGTGTCACCTAGAGCAAGTCACATAGGACTTCCTTAGGAGTTAAAAAAAATACAATAATAGCATTTCTCTTAGCTTATAGAGTTAACATGAAGGTAGAATGAGGTGATCTTTTGATTTACAAGTTTTGCTTTTGGTGTACTGTTTGAAAATGTCTTTCTATGCATGGATGATGAAGATGGTCTTCTACTTTGTTAGCAGTTTAAAGTTTTTGCTTTTTTTATATTTGGGTTTCTTTTTTGGTGCAATTTAAACAATGTCATTTTTGTCCCTTTATGGATAGCCTAATACTAATACCTTTCATAAAAGAGACTGTCTTTCCCTAGTGACTTATAGTGTGATTTTTGCTCTAATGCAAATCACCGTTAATGTGCAAGTTTGCTTCTGGGCTCTCTCTTTTGTTCACTTGTTACTTTTCTTTTACGCAATTATATCACTTTTATTATTTCTCTAGCTCTAAGGTTTGTCTTGATTTCTGGTAGGAGAAATTCTTCCCCCTCCTTCTCTTGACCTGCCTCCTTTTCCTCCTTTCTCCTCCAAAGGTGTTTGACTCTTCTTAGATATTCCTATTCCCCTCTGTATTTTAGAAGTTATTTGAAAGATTCCATCTCATAAAAATCTTGTTGGAATTTTGATATGAACCCCTTTGATATGCAGGTTAATTTGGGGGAGAATTGGTATTTTTACAAGATTGCATTTTCCAAAAGTGAACATTGTATTTTCATACATTTTATCCTGATTGGCTTAAGGTCCTTCAGGGGAATTTAAAATTTTTTCTTTGTAAATATTTCACACATTTTCTTTGCCATACTGATTTCCAGGATCTTTAATAATCATATTTTGATTGGTTCCTGTCAGCAGATGGAAAAAATATTAATTTATATTTGCTGATCTTGTGTTCAACACACTTGCTTGTATAAATCAATATCTCAACTAGAAACAGATGAAACACTCAGAGAGGTTGATTTGAGAAGAGTTTAGTGAAGGGCCCGTTTATAGAGGTGTGGGCTGGGCATCACCACGGACAATCACCATGGATTAAATACAGCAGCCTGGGGCTAGTAATAGTAAGTCTCAATTCTCAGCCCTCTACCTGAAGGCCAGAGGAGGGAAGAATGCCTGGAACAGGACATAGGGAGGTCCCCAGAGGGAGTCTGCCTGACGAGTTAGGACATCGGTGGAGGGGATCCACTGGCCAGCAGCAACTATACAGAGTTGGGGAAACAGTAGCCTGGCTTTACTTTCCTCTGATAGATCTCCTGCCTTGCCTCTGCTCTCCCTCTCACCACTGGCCAGATCTGTCTGAAGCTCGTAGAAGTTAGTGCCACGGAGCACAGAGAGAGTGGGGAAGGTGTGGATGGGTGTGAAAGTACAAGTGGAAGATGACCCACATGTTGCCGACTTCAGTTAGTTTTAATAGTTTGTCTGTCAGACCTCTTGTATTTTCCAGATAGAGATCCGTGACGTCATCAGATATTTTTCTCTATTGATGCTGAAACACTTTTTCTTGTCTATTTCACTGTCTAGGTCCTCCAGTGTAATGTGAGCTAAAGATTACGACAGTGAGTTGGTTTGTCTTGTTCCTGATTTGAATGAGATCACTTCTAAAATTTTACCAGTAAGTAGGCTGCATGCTTTAGTATGGATTTTTTTCTTTACTTTTTTTTTTTTTTAAGTAAGTTAAGCTGGCTACTTTCTGATCCTAGGTAAGGGTTTCCTGTTTAAAAAGATCATGAGCAGATTGTTACATTTTAACATACATTTTCATACCCCTATTAAACATATTTCTCACTGTGTGAATGTGGTAAATTACATTATTATGTTTGTATGTGTGTGTGTGTATGTGAAAAAAATACCCTTGCATGTCTAGAATAAATTCTACTGTTTATGATGTATTTAAAAAATATGTACTGCTATTTTTGATATGTTAATATTTTGTTTAGGAGAGTCACATCTATATTCATAAGTGAGATTGCCTATAACTTTTTTAATGATCCTGTTTTCAAATTAAGTTTATACTAGCCAAATGAAATAAGATACATATGTTTTCTTTTCTTTATTCTTGTCAATTTTGAGTAAAATAAGAATTAGCTGTTTTTTGAAGGTTTGATAAAACTTCTTGATATGGCATCCTGGTTTGTATGTTTTTGACTGTTTATGCCATTTGTTTAATAGTTACACATCAATTTGGGATTTGATGTATTTTGAGTATTTTGAGTCAAATAACATTTTACTGTATTTTCAAATTATTGATGTAATATTATGCTGAATGTACTTTTATGATGTCATTTAAGTTTCATGTTTGGTTATGGCATAATTTACATTTGTCATATTGTTTGTATATATCTGCTTGTTTTCTTTTACTCGTTTTCCCTGATTAACCTTACCAGAAGTTCTCTCATTCATTCCTTCTGTCCTTCTTTATACCTTTCCTGCTTTCTGCTATTTCAGTTATCTTTCAGTTATCAATCATCTCAATAATTTTCTTATTTTATGTTTTCTTCTTACCTCTACTTTTGACTTTTCAACACCATCTCTGGATTTACTCCTTTCCTTTTAAGCTAAAGGTTATATAATTAGTTTTTTTTTTTAGATTTTATTTATTTATTTGACAGACAGAGATCAGAAGTAGACAGAGAGGCAGGCAGAGAGAGCAGGGGGGAAGAAGGCTCCCCGCTGAGCAGAGAGCCCTATGCGGGGCTCGATTCTAGGACCCTGGGATCATGACCTGAGCTGAAGGCAGAGGGTTTAGCCCACTGAGCCACCCAGGTGCCCCTATAATTAGTTTTGATATTTATTTTTTTCTATTACATAAATGAGAGACTATGGACTCTGAGAAACAAACTGAGGGTTTTGAAGGGGAGAGGGGTAGGGGGTCGGGTGACCCTGTTGGTGGGTATTAAGGAGGGCATGGATTGCATGGAGCACTGGGTGTGATGCATAAACAATGAATCTTGGAACACTGAAAAAATAAAGTTTAAATAAAAAATACACTAAAAAGATAAATATGTAAGACTTCACATTTTCCTCTGAGAACTTTTGAGATGCCAGATGCCCCATAGAAATAGTTATATGACCATGACTAGAACAGCTCTCATGGAAGCTATTTGTAGGTATATATTGCTTTCTTTGTAATTCAGTTCTAAATATTTAAATTTCTATTATGATATTTTTCAGCAATATTGTGTTCTCAAACTGCCAGGGTATTTTCTTTTCTCTTTTTCCTCCTTCTTTGCTTTTATTGGCTAGATTATTTTCTTTTTTCTATTTCTTCCTCTAGCGGTTTGAAAATCATACATTTTATTGCTGTTCTTTTGGTGCTACTTTAAAATTCCTTACCATTCATACTTCAGTTAACAGAGTCCAAGGTTAATCAATATCCTTACCTTCCTTCTGAACCTCTTTCTTGTGGACATTTCAAAATTTAATCTGCTTTGCATTTAAACTCTCCCAAATACATTATTTTTATTGGTGGTATTTTTAACAGTTAATGCTAATTTAGATTTACCAACATGTTTTGTCTTTCTTTCTGCTCCACTGATTTTATACCAACTATTTTCAATATGTCATATCTTCAGTACATTGGTACATCAAGGTTACAAGTTTCATTTCAGGAAGAGTGTGTACCCTTCACAGTTCTCCTTGATATTCTTTTTCTTTTTTTTTTTTTTTAAGATTTTATTTATTTATTTGAGAGAGAGAGATCACAAGTAGGCAGAGAGGCAGGCAGAGAGAGAGGGGGAAGCAGGCTCCCCCCTGAGCAGAGAGCCCGATGCAGGGCTTGATCCCAGGACCCTGAGATCATGACCTGAGCTGAAGGCAGACACTTAACCCGCTGAGCCACCCAGGCACCCCTCCTTGATATTCTTTTAAAAACCACTTCTTTTCCACAGAAAGCATCATGGTAAGTTAGCTTACAAGACAATGTGGATTTGTCTTACATCTGCTCGATCAATGTCAAACCTCAAAAATCCCAACGAACTAGGAAAAAAGTCTGTCAGAAATACATTCCATATAGGAAGGAGATGTCATTTTGTGACCACTCAAACCCCTATTCCTCCTTTTTCGCAAGGTGTGGCATCAGATGTCTGCTAACAGAAGTCTCTGGGTTTAACGGAATGAAGAAGAATGATGTGTAAGCTGTATGTGCTTTGAGTAAATACGGTACTTCTGGATCATTCGAAGCCCTTTTTCCTGTTGACTCTGGCTGCCGACAGGATGGTCCTTCAGTTTTCAGGATCAGATCTGATGTGTGGATAAGCTGGTGATATACTTGAGGATTTTGGTAGTCTTCACATATAAACCGAATACCTCAGCCTCTGTGTGTGTGCAGGCTGTGTGTGTGTGTGTGTGTGTGTTAGAAATCTGTTTTTTCCTCATATATTAGGCCATTTTTTAACTAAGCTGTGCTTACAGAAACATTGTTCCCCTAGCCTGAGGAAAAGAGAAACATTTTGAGGTTTGATTTTTACAGCAATGGGTTTTCTGACACCCCAGTAGCTGAATAATTTGGAAGTTATTGTGGTCTTATATCTCAATACATCTCCAAATCTAAATGTAGATGTTAATGGATAGGACTGTGTGTTTAACGCTTGCAATGGAGACAGGAGCTAACACAAAAAGCATTTTGTTTATTGTAGGCAAAATATCTGGCTTCAGCTTTTCATTCAAATTGTCATTTGTTTCTAATTGTCAGGGTTATGTAATAAATACTCTGTCTGCTCTTTAAAAAGAATGAACCATTGATAGTGCATTTAATATAGATTACATGATAAACTTTCAGCTCTTTTAGTAACTCTGACTCATCTTTGCTCCTGCTTTCTTCTTCCCTTTGTGTCTGGTGTATGTCTGGTGTTAGAGTAATATGCATCCTTTCTTTCTTTCTTTTTTTTAAAAGATTTTATTTATTTATTTATTTGGGAGAGAGACAGAGAGAGAAAGCATGAATGGTGAGAAGGGTAGAGGGAGAAGCAGACTCCCTGTGGAGCAGGGAGCCCGATATGGGGCTTGATCCCAGAACCCTGACAGCATGATCTGAGCTAAAGGCAGACGCTTAACGAACTGAGCCACTCAGGCACCCCTGCGAAACAAGAATTTTTAGACCACGAACTCCCTGGAAACAAGAATTGATTTTATTCATTTTTGTGTTTTCCTGGAATGTTACACAGGGTTTTACAAGCAAGGGGGCATGGCATTAATGCTGGCTTAATGAGTGGTTGAGTGGATATTATTGTCCCTTGTAGCCCTGGTACTTTGGCTCAGGATCTAGGGATGGTGGAGGGTGCTTTATAGAACCCTTCCTGCAAGTGACGGCTAGCATCCCAGGTGGCCCGCCACAGATGCCCGAGGAAACCTTCCTTCTCCCTCTCTCTGTCCTTGCTAGGATAAGCGAAAGGAAAGGGCTGGTGGCAAATTTGCATGTTGAGTTAATTTATAAACACATCATATATACAAACTCTCACGAGTTCTGTGTCTGAACATTGCACACCTCCCTCCCCATCTAATTATATTGCATAAATCTGCAGGTGAAAAAAAATGGAACGAATCTTCACAATTTCTGTGAGTATTTAGTCACCACTGTATTTTATATCAGCCACACTCTTTTCCTTGGCAATGTGTCTGCATTTCTGTGCGTTTACTGTCTGGACACACTCCTTCTTAATACTTAAACAAAGTCTTAGCTAGGCATATGCAGCCATGGTATTAATAGGAGGAAAGTAGGAGCCATTTACAACTGGCGCTTGTCCAGGAGACAGACACAGTCATGCCAGTGACAAAAGGAAACGGAGTCTTCTTCGCTTTAAACTCTTGAGTGCATAATGAACAGGGAAGTGAGGAAGGGGGGCACTGCCCGAGCAGAGAACCAGATAAGGTGGCGGGACCATTCCCAGTCTTGCCTCTGCCATACACCTCGTAAACTGATAACTTGGGGTAGAATTTCCCAGCCAGCAACTGGAGAAGAAGTGGGTTTTATAGCAAATCGAGACAGGCTGACAGCTCCCAGTAAACAGAACATAGGTCTTCTTTGTAACCTGGATAGGAAGTCGCCGTCTGCCTCCCCATATCTTGTCTTGGGCACAGATCTTGTGCTAGTGTGTCAGAAGCTGACCCACAGAAAATAATAATGATAAAATTAACAGATAGGTCACATTTATTGAATGTATACCAGGTGCCAGCAACTGTGCCCAGTGCTTTATAAAGATTTTATTTACTTATTAAAGAGAGAGAGAGAGAGCGAGCACAAGCAGTGGGAGCAGCAGGCAGAGGGAGAAGCAGGCTCCCCACTGAGCAGGGAGCCCAATGTGGAACTGGATCCCAGGACCCTGGGATCGTGACCTGAGCTGAAGGCAGATGCTTAACCGACTGAGCCACCAAGGCACCCCTGCCCAGTGGTTTATATACATGAATCTCATTTCATCTTCTGTAAAAGTCCCTTGTACTTATTTTGATTTCACAGATAATAAAGCCAAAGCTCAAAGAGGTTAAGTTGTTTTCCCAATGTCTCTCCAGCTAGTAATGGGCTGGGCTGGGCTTATGAGTCAAGCTTAGCTGTATCTGGTGACCGCGCCTGTTCTTCACCATCTTTCCTGTGCTCTCCCACTCCTCCAGAACCCCACGATACCCTCCACGGATGGCCAGCATTCCTCGTACAGCAAGGTAGTGTGCTTCCTTGCTGAGGTGTCTCACCCTGCTGGGCTATGAACTCCCTGGAGACAGGACTCCTCTCATCTCTGTATCCCCACTGCCTAGCGTGGTATCTGGTGCGAAGAAGGAACACAGGAGATGTGTGATGAACGAACCAGTGAGTAAATGACACAAACATTTGGTAAGGGGCTTTTCGTCAAAGAGCCTGATTGCTGCTTACTGGTAATCTCTGCCCCAGTAGGGAAAATCATGTTACATAGTAGGATTTAAATTTATTTTTATTGTTTTTATTTTTTAAAAGATTTTTATTTATTTAAGAGAGAGAAAGAGAGAGAGAGAGAGAGCACGCGTGCACATGAGCACGAGTCCCTAGGGGGAGGGGCACAGGGCAAGGGAGAGCCAGGCTCCCTGTGGATCAGGGACTCATGTCTGGCTCGATCCCAAGACCCTGGAATCATGACCTGAGCTGAAGGCAGACGCTTAGCCAACTGAGCCACTCAGGTGCCCCTAAATTTATTTTTAGATATAGATGACAAATCAGTTTTCTTGGTAAAACAGTCGAGAACTAAAAGCATCAGCAGAAGGAAATAAAAGGTTCTCTTTGGGAATAGACAATTCGACAGAAGACTGCAAGATCATGGACTTTAGATAGTCAGTCTGTCAAGGTCAAGCTCAGAAAGCCTCACCTCTCTTGTGTTTCAGAGCCTAGAGTAAGCTGTTTCAATGCCAACTGACAGCCCCCTCTCGGGGTTTAAGTCAGCTTCCAGCTGGCTGAGTTATAGCTGCTCCAAACCTAGGTTTCATTCTTTCTGAGACCATACCAGGCGACAGATATGGTCTCTGGTTGCTCCTTCAGAAATACAGCTGTCACTTTGCAGAGCACATTGGAGAAAAGCTACACCCCGTGCAATCAGTAGGTATGCTCTGTTTGTAAATGCTGAGCTCAGAGCAAGGAGCAGACAGCTTCAGGCTGGCTCTGTGGAACACCCCAGTGCATGGCACACAAGAGGATTTGCACACACCCAGGCCTCCAGCCACACTAGTTAACGGTTCTCACCAGCTCCTTCGAGAGGGACCACTAGGTACTGAGGTCAGTTTGGAGTGTGTGCTTCACCTGCTGTCAGCAATAAGGACCCAGGGTAAACTATCAGGTTCTCATAGGACAATAGATCCAATTATAGGTTTCCCCGGCTATCCAAAAGTAGACCGTTCCTCTGAAAACTTTCATAAGCTGAAATGGTGTAAAGCAAAGAAGCAATTCCTGTTCATTTATATGGAAAAAAAAATCGAGTGTTTCCAGACCTCCAAAATAACTACTCTAAGGTTTTTGATACCGTAGGACATGTATTGCTAAAGAAGACGCAGAATAAACCCAGATGAAAGGCAGATGCTCACAGACGCCGTCTGAAGCCAGGGTGGCTTGCTGCTGAGACACTGCATGGGGTTCCTGGGAATGGAGCTTGGGGGGGCCTTCCCGCTGCTCTTTTCCGTGTGCACTGCCTCTCCCCCTCCTCACTGCAGAACAAACACTGAATGAGATTTTCCCTTTTCACCTTTTTTCATAAAAACAGATCCTTTTCAGGTTTCTTTTGGGTAGCAAAACCAGGTGCTAATGTAGGTCTTTTTGTAAAAGTGATGTGGCATTATCACAACATTCTGAAAAGCAGAGGATACCTGTATTCTCCACTAAGCTTTGAATTCAAGGGTGGAAAGCTTTTCCAGTTATGAACTGAATGGAGTCCATCCGTTTACTGGAGGAGAAAACCAAGTAGGCAGCGCTTTTTGCAAGATGCTCTCTGAATGCCTGACATGCTGTCAAAGACCTGGGAGTATGCGGAGACTGGGTTTTGTTTTTTCTCCAGATTGCTAAGAGGTCAGGTGTTTTGGGGGGTGGGTTGCAGGCTTGTGTGGAAATTGTGGACAGGGTTGCAGAGACAGGCATGCAAGGGTCTAACTGTCCTCCCCCACCCCCTCATCCTCCCAGTCAAGCCGTTCATCGCTCTGTGCAGTCCTGGGCTGTCCCCAGTGTGCCTTTGAGTGATGAATCTCAGATTGCTAGAAGATGTCCTGCCTGCTTCTGTACTTAGAATAATACATGCACATGATACCAAATGATAGAAACTGTTGAGTTCAGTAATTTTTAAGGTATCCGGAAGCATGTCTGGGGTGAACTAGGTGACCCGGGAAGTCAGTTATATACCTGCCCTATGTGCTGGCTGGTGTCCAGCATTTCCCAGGGAAGCCTGGTAACCTGATCTTTTTATAAAGTTAATTTCCTAAAAGGCATGTAGTTTTACAGAGGGAGCCTCCTTTTCTGCTGTGGAATGCTATCAAAGTGCAAATTTCTATGAGCGTATTAGTGACTCAGGCGCAGCGTGAGTCCAGGGCAGGCGAGATGTTTTCCGATCAAGTCACTGAGCAAGTGTAGGATTTGGGTGCAGCAGGGATGAGAATAAGGAAGCCACTGGTTCTTCTTTCCTGCAGAA